ATTAGTGGAAATTTGCAAAAACTAAATGCGATCGACTATTTATATTAGTAGTAAGTTTAAGTGATTTCTTCAACCTTGAAATTTAAACGTGGTTTGCATTTTTATTGATATGGAAAATTTACTACAATGCCTGACTACATTTGCATGCATTGAAAAACACTGCGTAGCTTTTTTTTATCGTTTTTATACTGTTTATGACTCATTTAACTACGTGGGATGGTTCAGTTTTCCTAGACCCCTATATACATACAAACTATTGCGCATTAGTTTTATTGCAAACAATTCTTGAAACTTGCAAGTCGTGTCCTTGAAAGAAGAGTAATTTCTCACGGTCTCCGCTCCTATAGGTCTCTAACCCAGCGTCTGCAACCAATAACCTTGCATCTGCTGGTACCCATGCACCGGAGCGTAGCCATACAATGCCTCTTTGACAGCTTTCTATTATACCTGGACCGAACCCATTAATGTGTTTTTTGTTGCATGAAAGAGTCGTCCTAGTTTTCTGACAAACAACGCACGTGACGCGAAAGGGAAGAGTGTGGGAAAAATGTAGGTCAATATTTGATGGTATGGTTAGGTCAGCTGAGGTGTGAAGACTTGTTTTTTTCTTATTACGTCAGCAAGGTTGGAAGATATCTTTTACAAGCGGTTACATCATCAATGGTGGGTAGAAATTTGATGCTTTTTGGAAACAGCAGGTTACGAGTAATCCGTCAGTGAAATTAATGGTTTTAGTATGTATGTGCTGATTTATTATACATTCAAGAGCCTCAAAACTATTGTAAAATTCACTTGGGTCATTATCAATGAAACCAAACCCGTATTCATTGAAAAAGCAAATTGAAATGTAGAATAATAATGAGAGTACAGTAACGTATTGAATTTGTAAGTTAAGTTGAATTTGTTGAATACCTAAAATTAATTCTGGAATAACTTTACAAATTTAACCCAAGTCAAGTGAGAATATGAGGCTTTAAGTTATTTTTAACACTGACTCATTAGGATATTTTTATTTTTATGATAGAGGCACTTGTATTGAAAACCAATATTGTGATTATTGAATAACTATTGTTTTTTCCCTAGGAGTAATAAGTAATAATGACAAATCAAACATGCCAGACTTCTTATCCCTCTGACGATAAATGCATCTGATTGATAATGATCCGAAGCATTTGATTAAAACTTTGTATACCTACTTGGAGCGCGTATTGGTATTATAAAACTATTATGACAAATAACTAAAAGTTAACTTCTGGAATCATGTCACATCTCATGTCATTCCAGAAGTTAACTTTTAATTTTTGTCAAAAAAGTTTTATAATACGCGCCGGTAAGTAATCTTACCCTTATGTAACTGTTGTTAGAATAAAAATGTATGCCCGGTTTATTGGTTGGCTGGATAACTATTCTGAAATATTTGTCTTGAATAGACAGTTACCTGCAAGGGGCAAACCACATAGGAATTATTTGCCAAAAATGTGGGGAATTTAGAGAAATTTGTGGGGAATTTGAAGGAACTTATCGGAATTTATGAGAATTTTGGGCAATTTATAGGGAATTCGGAGAAATTTATGGGGAATTTGGAGGAATTTGTGAGGAATTTATAAGGAATTTAAAAAAAAATTATAGAGTCATGACGTCACTGAGGTTCACATTCTCATTATAAAAAACAATAATAAATGAAAATTTAAATAAAATCTAGTTTTGTGTTGAACGTTGGAAATTCATTTTTATTAAAAAAAATTTCTCCCAAAATTTCACTTCATGATTTACAGGCCCAAATTTAAAAACATCAAAACAATAATGAGTACAGTTTTTGTAGGCTGATTTCCAAGATTCAACATGTTATCATTTTCCACTAAAAAAATTCGAAATTTTGGAAAAATGAGCTTTTAACCTTCCTCTTCACATGTAAAAAGTTTCAAATTTTTTCGTTCACTAGTTTTCCAGGAAAACTTTGAAATATGTGAGATGGTATTTTCAACTAATTCAGTTTTTGTAAGTTGATTTCCAAGATTCTTGATGTTGCTATTTCTAACTGGAAAAATTTAAAATTTTGGGAAAATGAGCCTTAAACCTTTCTAATCTTCACATACAAAAAGTTTCAAATTTTTGCTTTCACTAGTTTTCCAGGAAAACTTCGAAATGTGTGAGACTGTATTTGTATGTTGTTATTTTCCACTGGAAAAATTTGAAATTTTGGGAAAATAAGCTTCTTTCTTTCCTCATTACATGTAAAAGGTTTCAAAATTTTTCCTTCACTAGTTTTCTATGAAAACTTTAAATTCTGTGAGACTGTATTTTCAATTAGGTAATTCAGTTATTGAAGGATGATTTCCAAGATTCTTCATGTTGTTATTTTCTACTGGAAGAATTTGAAATTTTGAGAAAATGAGCCTCTGACCTTCCTCTTCACATGCAAAAATTTTTAAAATTTTCCCTTCACTAGTTTTCCAGGAAAACTTTGAAATGTGTGAGACTGTATTTTCAATCAATTCAGTTATTGGAGGTTGATTTCCAAGATTCTTCATGTTGTTATTTTTCACTGGAAAAATTTGCAATTTTGGGAAAATGAGCTTCTCACCCGTTCTCACCTTTCTCTTTATATGCAAAAAGCTTCAAAATTTTTTCCTTCAATAGTTTTCCAGGAAAATTTTAAAATGTGTGAGACTTTATTTTCAATTAATTCAGTTATTGTAGGTTGATTTCCAATATTCCTTATGTTGTAATTTTCTACTGAAAAAATTTGAAATTTTGGTAAAATGAGCCTTTAACCTTTCTACTCTTTACATGCAAAAAGTTTCAAATGTTTCCTTTCACTAATTTTCCAGGAAAGCTTAAAAATGTGTAAGACTGTATTTCCAATTGATTCAGTTATTGGAGGTTGATTTCTAAGATTCTTCATGTTGTTATTTTCTACTGGAAAAATTTAAAATTTTGGGAAAATGAGCCTCTGACCGTCCTCTTCACATGTAAAAAGTTTTAAAATTTTCCCTTGATTAGTTTTCCAGGAAAACTTTGGATTGTGTGAGACTGTATTAACAATTATTTCAGTTTTGTTGATTTTCAAGATTGTTCATGTTGCTATTTTCCACTAGAAAAATTTGAAATTTTGGGAAAATGAGCTTCTCCCTTTCCTTTTTACATGCAAAAGGATTCAAAATTTTTCCTTCACTAGTTTCTAGCAAAACTTTAAATTGTGTGAGACAGTATTTTCAATTAATTCAGTAATTGTAAGTAGATTTTCAAGATTCTTCATGTTGTTATTTTCCACTGGAAAAATTGGCAATTTTGAGAAAATGAGCTTCTCACCTTCTTCTTTACATGCAAAAAGTTTCAAAATTTCCCTTCACCAGTTTTCCAGGAAAACTTTGAAATGTGTGAGACTGTATTTTCAACTAATTCAGTTTTTGTAGGTTGATTTCCAAAATTCTTCATGTTGCTGTTTTGCACTGGAAAAATTTGAAATTTTGGGAAAATGAGCTTCTCATCTTCCTCTTTACAATTTACATGCAAAAAGTTTCAAAATTTTCCTTTCCCTAGTTTTTCAGGAAAACATTGAATTGTGTGAGACAGTATTTTTTATTAATTCAGTTATTGTAGGTTGATTTCTAAGATTCTTCATGTTGTTATTTTTCACTGGAAACTGGAGTCCAACTTTTATAATCTGATACTCCGAAGGAATGTGAGTTGGTGGCTCTCCAAGCCAATGGTCACCTGACTTCACATCTATTTCTGCTGCATTTTCCCACCTCGCTCCTCATATGGAAGTGTCAAATTAAAAAAGCTAAACATTACCTGAATGCCTTTATTGGAACAAAAATAACATCAGGCCCTTCCTTCTGAATATAGGTTTATCAAGAAACCCACAAAACATTGAAAAATCGAGTATAAATGCGGTAACTATGTGTAACAAAAATTAATGCGCAAAGAGTTTCCATGCGCAAAGTTCAACTTTGCGCACGCAATGAGTGTGCAAAGTAATAACTTGTAGAAAAAAGGTTTTTTTTTTTATCAATTAGGTAATGATATCAAATGCTGGTTTAGGTTAGTTTAAACCCCTGCATTCTGGATTACCGAAATCCAATCATTAGTTCTAGCTCTGAAGTCAACTAACGTAACCTTGCATTGGAACTTACTCGCGATCCTACTTGATAAACTGCTCTTGTATTTTAACTAAGCGAAATAAAAATAGAAAAAAAAAATTCTTATCAGGAGCAATTATGGGGATTTTTGGGGAATTTGAGAGGAGTTTGGAGGAATTTGCGGGGATTTAGAGGAATTTTCAGAGAATTTAGAGGAATTTGTGGGGTATTTGGAGGAATTTGTGATGGGGTATCTGGAGGAATTCGTGGGGAATTTAGAGGAATTTGCAGGAACTTTGAGGAATTATGTGTAAAAAATTCCCCTTTGAGGAATTGTTTGCACAAATTCTGGGATGGTGGTTTACCCCTTGGTTACCTACATATAGGGAGATGAATAAACCGGGCCTAAATAGTGGCAGAGATATCTACCCCTAAGAGAGTAGTTGTTTTTGTTGACATACATTATTGCTACAATAAATTTAATGTTCATGACTAATCTGTACATCCGTCTTCCAATCACCCATCCCTAGATACTCGGGCCCCAGTTTACAGGAAGTTATATCCGGAACGCGATAATAAACAAATGTTTAAAACTTAAATAGATAGGGGCCTGATAATTATTGTAAATTCAACATGTCGCCTTTCATTTTTAGGCAAGGTTGGCGACGTTTTTACTGCTCATCAACAGGAAACAAAACAATGACCTATGATCGTGTGACGTCACGTTATTTGTCGAGACAACGTGATGAGAATACTAGCCGTGACGTAATCGCAAGGTCTTTGAATGTTATCGTTAAATAGCGAAAGATATGAAGAAACTTTTAATCGTGTTAGTGGAATAATAAACGGTTTTTTATTGGCATCATTGTGGTAGGTAATCATTTTATCGCTAGAAAGAATTCTAATATGACTTACCGTTTACTTTAAAAGCAGTGCCAGCATCAAACGACCCAGTCCTCATCGGATGTTTTTCCTGTTTAAATGTCCTCTCAGCTGATACAATAAAGGGCTGAGCCAACGAAACAGCAGGTAAACTTTCACCTCTAGTCAATGGTGGTCTCACCATTTGAGGTTCTTGTCTAGAATTACCGTGCTCGTCTATGGTGTGCATTCTTTTAGGTCCAATCTCACCATTAGCATGATGATGGGGATGGTGATCGTCATCGTCAGCCGTAGCAGACATACCACGTTTAATGCTTTGGGCGGGTAGGCTGGCTTGACGGGTAGTTGAACTATGATGGTGGGTTTGTAATGGATGGTGGGCGGCTGCTGCTGCCGCCAAATGTGTGGGAAGGCGGACGGTTGTCCTAGTTACCTGAAGAAGTATGAGTGGTTGGGTTAGGAATACGAACTTGTGGAGTACTTAATAATGTTTAATAGAAGTAATTTAGACAATCAAAATAGTATTCAGGGTGCAAGCAATATTCAGGAGTAAATCCCTGGAGGGAGGTAATTTTCAAGATAAGGATCCACCCTGCAACGCGTAATCTTATTTAAGGTTTCATTATATAGATAGCTTTTTCCAGCCAAATGAACCACCAGCGGCATGCTTAGTGAATTCAGATGGAATATTTTCTCCAAAAACAGGATATCATTATCAATGTAGATGATGAAATCTGAACAATTTTTAATTTCCCCTTGTTTAATTAGACTACTCAATCTCACAACATATCATATTGTTGAAATATGTATTTGTCGAACCTACCCACATCGATTTATGTGGATGATGGATTATTACAGAGAGAGTTCTTGGCACAAAACCAAATTGAGAGAATCGATTTTTCAAAAGCAACTACCCATATATTGATGCTAATAAGCTAATTATTGAAGAATTGAATTATGTAAGTAACAGGAAATTCTCGAAACATATTTAAACTGAATCTATCAGGCAAAGTTTATATCATCCTATGTGGGCAATTAGCATAGAAACAATAATTATTGTGATAACCCTTACCATTGCCTCATGTTCGTTATTTGCTTCAACTTGAGGTCTGGCTAACCCCTGACTACCTCTAGGCGGAGGTGGCGGTTGAGCCGTAGGATAACCTTCCAGCATAGCATTTCTCGAATGATGCATACTGTAACTTTGATGATGACCTGCAGATTGATTTTGCGATCTACTATTAGCCACAACTTCACCATTCTGATGTTGATCCCTATGAGATTTGGTTGTGTGACTAGTAGCTCTGGCTTCTTGAAAACCATGAGCTCGTTTCAATTGCCTGGCAGCGTCCAGAACGACTTCTATTCGATCTGCGCCTTCGTAATTGACACAACCTCGGCATACTGCTTCAGAAAAGTCGTGTAACATGGCCCACGGCATGCGGGGTAGATCGCATAGGTAGCATTGCTGCCTTTTGGCTTGTTGCATTTGCATCACCGACATTTTTACCATAAATTTTTCTTGTTTGTTTTCGATCCAAACTTTGATTAGTTTAAAATAAAATCACTATGTTGAAAAGTTTTCAAAAATCAGTTTCATGACACCAAAAGTTTCAACTACAAATTAATATGTTTAATCCTGGCTGTCTCATGTTGATTTCACTTTCAAAAATGTTGATTGTTCACACTCAGTTAATCAACGTGGATACACACAATCCAGTACACTGAAAATCGAATACAAATTAAATTCTGTTATCGGTTAGTTTATCACGCACAAAAAAATTAGACACGTCGCGATTATACACCGAAAAAAATATAAAATAGTCGACTTTGTCACATCATCCAAACGCGACTAAATGCAGACTATAGTAACAAGTTCACACAGGAGAAACCGTACCGCAACTATACACGCTAAACGAAAACCCGGTTCGAAGGACCATTCCTCTCTGACTAAACTGAAATATTCTCGGTTCGGTGCGGTTGTGCAAGCGCCAGATTATGATATTGGCGTTGCGACGTTGTCAAGTTATCTGAGGAAATGAAAATCGAAATTTTAAATTTAGAATTTTTTAAGTTAATAAAAATAATTTGAGCCTTAAGAAGGTTTTAGAGTTTGGGCAAAGTAAGTAAAATATATGGCAACAAAGCACATGTTCGGCAAAATCCCTAGACGCCCTAATAGGTAACTAGTGATTACAACACAGCAAAAATCTCTAATTTAAAGGCAAATTGAAAATTCCCAGCTAAAACACAACCCAAAATATGATATTTTATTGTTTTAAATTAGAGGAAGTAAATTCGGCAACACCGTTCCGTACTCGAAGGAGTTCATTTTACAACCTAAACAACACAACCGCTGGCTGTCGCGCGCACCCTGTGACGTAGCCCCGTTGCCGCCATTGGGCGTGACGTCACAGTCGTATAACGATTATCCGACCGGGTCTCATCTACCCGGTCGCTCCGACTCCCCCTTTTCACTACGCGACCCCTGCGGCGCGTTTTGCTGATTAGTGATTATTATTATAATAGCACGCAGTTGACGAGTTGTGTCCGATATCTTTGACATTCTTCTGGGTATTAAACCATTATTGAGAACTATTTTTTTTTATTAAACATTTATTCAAGAGCGAGTAACGTTAGGTGAAAGTCCTATGCTAAACGATAAGACTGAATTGATGACAATACGTAATAACACAAACACATAAGGTTATGACAAATTGGTTTTATTATTGTTTATTTTGGTAGAATTAAGCTAATAGCAAAAAGTGAACGGAATCTAGTTGCTTCAATAATTGGATTACAGTGTATTTATAGCAAACAAAAGAGTTGCCGAAGGCTATGTAGGTACCTATGTACAGTACTTACAGTAGGAATGTACTAGAAATAATTGCACTGCTGAATTATAAAGATTCCATACGAAAATGGGTTTAAGAGTAGGGCGTAGTCAAATAGGGGTACCGTGACTTGACAATAGACGGTTTTCGTTGTTTTGGCAAATTCGAACAGTTAACCATAAAGAAGCATTTACATTCACTTCTAACTTTAAGTTAAAATTGACGTTTGATATTTTATCATTTACATTTACATATTTTACATTGACAAAATTGTCAAAATTCACTCAGGTTGATCGAGGTTTGTTTATTATTTGCGTTTTCTGTAGGTTTAAAAGTTTTTGAATTTTTGAATATGGACATGGAGAATCAGAAAAAAATTGTGGTTCTGGGAACGTTTGCGGTTGTTTTGGGTGTTTTGCACATAAAAAATAAGAAAAAAAGACCCCCCTGCAGAAAAAGATCAATATGGGTTAGGAATATTTTCCTACAAAGGAAAGAACAAGGTTTTTTTGATAACTTAATTCGGAAATTACAAATAAGTAGCCCAGAACTATTTTTTAATTTCACTCGTATGAGTTCTACATGTTTTGAAAGTCTTCTTTCATTATGTGGGCCATTTTTATGCAAAAATTCACCGAGAGAAAAATTATTCTCAGATTCCTGAGTATCCTGAGCAATGCCTTCTGTGTCTTCATCAACAATATATGTAATAATTTTCAATATTTTCCTGGATATTTCCGTAATTTTCACTTTCACTACCGACAGCCTGCCTTCCATCGTCTAACCAAATATTCATGATTGCTTTTTTTTTGCTTGTTCCGTGTTTATTTGGATATTGGAAATTGAGAAAAACCGTCAAAACGTCAGAATTTTATGAGAATTTAAAAATTTGACATTCCACAAATTTCTCCTTGCCTTCGGCAAGCAGCTCGCCCAAATTTGAAGTGAACTTCAAATTTATTTCAATGTAAATGGATCTGTGCTGTCGCCATATGGCAAGCACGTCAATTTCAAGACAAATTGGACTTTGAAGTGAATGTAAATGCACCATAACGAATACGAAAACAAAGTCGCTATTTGACAGATCGTAAAAATAGTTTTCGTTCAATCCGCTCCGCTTAACGTTAACGTTAAGTCGAATTCGACAAACAACCTATTTTTAATAGTTTGTTTTCATCATTGTGTTTATACAGGGTGTCCCACGGTGGATGGCGTATTAGACGTTTATAGAGAACTAAAAAGCGGATCATTTTGAAAATTTGGCAACCGGGATAAACGACCATAATCTACACTTTAAAAATATTTTTGTTTATGCGGTGTTGCCGCTTCTACTCTAAGCCAGGGGCAACATCGCTATTTTAAATGAAACACCCTGTATGTGATTGCATATTTGGATTCTAAGTAAAATTCTGAGCAGATTTTATGTGATATACCCTATACCTAAGTTCAACTGTTTTGGAAATATTGACAGTTGAAAATTGACTTTTTGCAACTTTGACAGGCTGTAAAACCTAATTGGTTAATTTTAGAGGAAAACCGATTTCACATTCCTATCTTAGATTTTCGTAAACTATCATTTGACACGAACTTTGAATTTAACCGGAGATTAAATTTAATTGGAATTTTTAATCATGGATTAAATTCAAAATTGGTGTCAAATGATAGTTTATAAAAATCTAAGATAGGAATGTAAAATCGATTTTTCTCTAAAATTAACCGTTCAGGTTTTACAGCCTGTCAAAGTTGCAAAAAGTCAATTTTCAACTGTCAATATTTCCAAAACAGTTGAACTTAGGTATAGGGTATATCACATGAAATCTGCTCAGAATTTTATGAAGAATCCAAATATGCAATTAAATACGGGGTGTTTCATTTAAAATAGCGATGTTGCCACTGGTTTAGAGTAGAAGCGGCAACACCGCATAAACAAAAATATTTTTAAAGTGTAGATCACGGTCATTTATCCAGGTTGCCAAATTTTCAAAATGATCCGCTTTTTAGTTCTCCATAAACGTCTAATACGCCATCCACCGTGGGACACCCTGTATACGTTTTGTACTTTGTTTTAATTTCCTAGTACCCAAAATTCATTAGTTTTCCCTGTGGGCTTTACAAAATTGCCTACTACAAAAGCTTATTTAGATGCATCGTCATATGGGTTGTTGGCCAATATTTTTTCTAATAAAATAATAAATAATATTGTCCTCATCAGTGAAACGATTTCTCGATCTTTTGAGGGAATTTAGTATTGAATCTATTTCGAAAACCGAAAACATTCAAAAAAAAAAAAAAAAAAAAACACAATAAAAACATAGGAAATACGCATGCTTTCCGTTTTCGCTATGGTTTTGTCTACAAGAAAAATCATGAGCCCCTTGTCACTTGTAACGGCTCATGATTTTTTTTTTTCCACCCTGTATGACAGATACGATAGCTGCACTAGCTATGACACAACTTGCGCTAGGCTGCGCTAGGTGTCACGAATTTGCGCTAGCCTTTTGAATAGGATTTAACAACTAGGTGGGGGCTAGCGTCGATCTAGCCCCCCCCCGAATAGATACCTGTATATGTTTTGAAGGGGTAATGCGGTTGCTCGAATTTTACCTGCGCTAGCCTGCGCTAGCTTTAAGGAAGATTCATATACATTTTTGAAAACTTAAAAATCACTTGTAGGGGCTCATGATTTTTTTTCTCCACCCTGTATGACAGCTACGATAGCTGCGCTAGCTATGACACAACTTGCGCTAGGTGTTACGAATGTGCGCCAGCATTTTTGAGAAGATCGAATAACTGGGGGGGGGGGGGGGGCTAGCGTCACCCTAGCCCCCCCCCCCGAATATAAAGCCACATATCTTTTGACCTGTAGCTGCGCTAGTTTTCGAAAAAGTTGCGCTAGCTCTGGAGAACGAGGGCTAGCGTTTTGGATAAAAATTATCAACTGGGGGGGGGGGGGGGGGGGGTCTACTGAGCCGACATAGGCTATATATTTTATACCCGTGCGAAGCCGGCCGGAGCGGGCCGCTAGTAGGGTTATAAACTAAAGAGAAAAATTGAGAAAGAGGTTGGCTATGTCACAACCATTATTTGAGCCGAAACACATTTCTTTAGGAATGGAACCTTGATTTGACTGCGAACAAAGTTCCAAAAGGACCTGGCGTTTTCCTTATGATAGAATCTTCAGTGTTTGCTATGTAAAGACTGTAGCACTTATCGAAACGTACACAACAATTCTCGTATTTGAACTGAACTCAAACAGAATCCTACGCACTATTTAAAGTCAAAATCGTACTCTGGATCTATGTAGAAACATGTGTCTTATCGAATATAATATAGAATTCCCAGAAAAGAGGTGCTCCAGACATGAAACGTAAACAACTAAATTCGTAGAATCAGGCCGAGCTCTCGAAGCATATTCGTAACAATACATTTAAAACGAAATCCAAAGATAACTCGGAAATTATTAATTTCCTGGCTCCACATTTTTTCAACGGTTCATTGAATTGATATAGTTAGTTGGCGAGAGCATCGAAAAAAATAGGTGAAGATGGACTTGGAGAAAACAAAGGTGCTAACAAATAACGGAAGATCGCCGAAGCAGAAAGGAGAGTCAGAGTCACTATTTGGAAACTAAATTTTGGAAAGAGTTAGCGAATATATCCTACCTAGATCAGATACTTAAACTTGATAAAAGCAACCATACAGTGGAAATTCACCGAAGGACAAGGAACCAAAAGTATTCCAGTTTGCCTGAGAAGCAGAGTTTTCAACCAATGTGTATTACCACAGAACACAGAGTTAGACACTCCCAAAGAACAATTTCGAGAAGCCGTATGAAGTGGACAATTCAGAACATAAGGCACTCGAACAAAAAGAGAAACGCTTGGATAACAACCAGGTTGGAGGACGTACCATTAAAAGTGAAGAGTGCAGGCCACCATGCAAGACAGAACGTCCACAGATGAGATAAATCAAGGACCCTAAACTAACGACTTGAGACGAGAGTGGCTCAGAATAGAGTTTGCTGGCTAGATTTAAGAGAGGTCTGAGATCTGAAGACCGAAGATGGATTATAACAGGCTAGATGGAAAGAGAAATA